CCCAGAGCCCTCAGACTGTACGGCCTGATGAGTTTCATTTGCCAAGGGTCAGGACTGCAGGTGCCCACAGTGGCCTCGTCTCATATTTTGCTTCTTCTCTTGGCACTGAAGAGGTAAAAAGGCCCCTATCATCCAGCCCTAACTTTAAAGACCCCATCGCCTCCACCACACATGAAAGTCTTGAGCTCCGGCCACAACCTCCAGCCAACCGCAATGACTTAGGGTTTAATCCCTTCCCCAAGTTGCCTATAGCTTCACTGTGCTCATGACCCTGGTAATCCCCAACCATCTGCCCCAACCGCAGAACAGCATGGTGGGGACAGGGCGCTGGCTCTGGTGCCAGACAGGCAGGGTTCCGATCCCAGGCAGTGGTCTGGCAGGGCAGCCAGAGGCCTCGCTTGGGTTCCTCAGTGGGCATGGCCCTGGGCAGTGCAGAAGAGCTGGTCACAGCCCTCCCTACCCTGGTCACCCTGCACACTTCACCCGAGGCAGATGCCCAACCTTCAGTTCACAGAATTCCCCACCTGGCCTGCAGAGGCACCTGAGTTTGCAATCTCTGGTCCAGAGACACTGAAATCTAGACTCAACAGGGCCTTCGAGGCTCTCCACCAAAGAGACAGCTCCGCAGTGGCCTCTCCCCAGCTATGGTGCAGCCCTGCCTCTGCGTAGGGCACCTGCCTCCTCACTGCTGCCTAAGGGAATCCTCTCTCAAACAGCACCTCCCCAGGAGGTCAGAATTCCGCTCTCCCCCCTCTACTACCCCTCCACCTTGCCCTCTTCACACATCTGGATGAGACTGAGCTGCAGGTGTGTCCCTCCCCCTCATGACACTTTAAAGTAGGGGTAGGTCATTCACTGCAGATTTGTCGATTTGCACTGAGCTCCCCATTCAGAGGCAATGGGGGGGTGTTGTCGATTTGCACTGAGCTCCCCATTCAGAGGCAATGCAGACACCCAGACAAGGCCTGGCTGGCTGACACCTCGAGGAGGTGTGTTGGGGCGGGGGGGAAGGGGGGTAACTTAGGCCTCTATCTTCAGCCCTTGGGGATGAAAAATAATAGCTGCCATTTATGGAGCTACCTACATGCCAAGCACCTTACAGACATTACAATTACTCCTAATCACCTTGATGAGGAAGACACAATTACACCCCCATTTTACAGATGAAGACACCAAGGCTCAGAGAGGGTAAGTAACTGCTAAGGTAGCAGGCTGGTAGATGGCAGAGTGGGGATTCGAATCCAGAGCCTGGCTCTCAACCACCACATTCGTGATGAAGAGCCTTGAGCGCCGGGGTGAGTACAACCATATTAGTGACCAGCACCGGGTTCCAGAATTCCTTCACTCACCAGCTGAAGGCTACCCCCCAAAATCAGCGACAGTCTTCAAGTTTGTTTGCTGATAGAGGGGATGCTCCTCTTACCTTAGTTCAATTCAGCAAACACCTCCACGTGCTCACAAAGTGCCTGACACTGTGTTGGCTCTTGGGAGGGGGGGCGGGGAGAGGGGGGAGACCACAGGATCACTACCCTCTAGGGACACTGAATGGGTGTTACAGAGGAGGAGGGAGCAAGGGGTGGACAGGGTAGGATTGAGGGCTTCCTGGAAGAGGTGGTGACCAACCTCATCTTGAAGGCTGAGTATCCCTCCACTTCCTGGGCCACCACCCCCTGCCCCAGAAGCTTACATTCCACACACACTCTGACCAATAGCTGCTTGAATAAACGCTCTGCCTTTCCAGCCTTTGGTTCTTTGCTCAGGCTGTAGCCTCCATGGAAATGCTCCTTCGCGAGACAGACACACACCCCTACCTGCCTGTGAAAGTCCTCTCTGTGTCAAAGACCCAACTTAAATCCCAACCTGTCCACCTGCATGGCCACCCACAAGGCAGGACGGTGCTCCTCTCCTCTGGGTTCCCACAGCACACCCATGGCTCTAAGGTGCCACTTACATTCTAGTGAATGAGACACACACACACACACACACACACACAAATTGTACTATATCTATCTCCCCTGCCGATCCTTGCACATGGCAAGACAGTCAATTCAGCGGATATTTATTTTGTGCTGTGACCAGTTCAAAGCAAGAAATATATGACACAATTCATGTAAAACAGTGGAGTGAACGGGGGACCTCCCGGCTGGGTGACCTAAGAAAGCCCCCTCTGCCTTTGACTCTCCGTCTCCTCCTCACCCGTCTCCTCCTCTCCCGGAGACCACAGCTAGTCATGCCTGGCCGGGATCATCCGTCACAGGGAGGCTGTGAAAATTCAGTCAGGCAACACTCAGGCACCAGCACGGGCCTGCGACATGGGGCGACACGGCAGTGCCAGCTATGGTCACCTGGTCCCAGGGCACATACACTCAGTCCAAGAGCAGGCAGACAGGCTCCTGGTGGGTGAGCCCCTCACTCGGTGTTTTTCAAATCTCTCTGACTCTGACCCATAGCAAGTCGTACGCGGGGACCCCGTATACGCACAAACTAAACACAACTGCTGTTAACGTTCCAAGAAACTGCTCCTCGTGACGAGGGGCACACACTGATATTGCCTCTTTCCTCTTCTCTTTCTACTTCATTTCCAAACTGATTTCACAAACCACTTGCAGGGCGCCCTGTGGTTGGAACGCCATGCCCTCACTCACCCAGGGTGTCAGAGTCACTCTCCACCGTCTCGTTGACCTTCCTCGCAACTCTGGCCACCGCCTCACCCATCTTCCTCAGCATGCAGACTCGGGTGTCCTGCTGCCAGCCACCAGGCCGGTCTGCTGCTCACAAGGGGGCCTGCACCTGGGGAAGACACAGGGGCATGAGTCCCCTGCCCGCTGGCCAGGGACCTGGGCTGCTGGAAGACTGCAGGGAGAGCTCCAGGCCGCTCGCCTCCTCCTGAGGGGCCCAGAGCCCAGGCCACATCCAGCTTGGCTTTTAAAGCAGCTGATCTGCCCATCAGAGGGTGGGGGCAGCCTGGTCCTACCAGTTTCCTGGGAGGATCGACACGTGTGACCACACCAGACACAGGGCCAGAGCCTGAACCGGTGGCCAGGCAGGAGTGAGGACTCAGGTGTGCGCTGGCCTGTGACTCACTTTAACAGGCGGGGCCTTGAGGAGGAGGCGGGGCACAGCCAACTGCAAGGAAGAGACACTTGTCCCTCCACCTCACAGCCTGTGAGCTGGTGCCCTGTCCAAGACCCTCCAGAGCAACTCCTCCAGCTCCGTTTGCCCCACCCACCTGTGCCAGACTCCTCCTGTATGCTGGGGCGTGGGGACAAGAAGGCAAATAAAACACAGCCCGGCTTAGTCAGTACTCAGAGTCTGCAGGTGGGTGGGTCTCTAAGAATTCCCTCTCCAAGTACCAGTATGGAGTGCCTATGTGGCCTGCAGACCTGGTTATCAGCCTGATGTTGAATTTATCTGCAAGACCCCAAGGGAAAAGGGGGGTGGGGTAGGGAAACGAGAGAAAGGAAATTGGATCACTAGAGAGAAGAGGCTTAAAGAAGGGTGAAGATGAAAATTATAATAAAAATGACAAGGTGTTAAAGACATAAGGAACACTAAAAACGTTGCTAACTCCCTGTCAATTACAGAGAAGGAAACAGAGGCATAAAGAGGGACTAAATGACCTGGCCAAGGTCGAAGTGACTAAGTGGCAATAATCAGCTCAGCCCGGCTCCACATTCAGTGCTCACTTCTTTACAAGTCACCCACGTCACCAGTGGCAGCACCCCACCTAGAATGAACCTGAGGCCAAGGGCAATGCCCTCCTTTGTCCCCAGAGCCGAATCTCAGCTTTGCCCATAGCTCAAGGAGCTCTAACATACTCAATCTGAGGGTCAAAGGCAGAAGAATGGAAAGGGCAGAGAAAAGGGGGGTGAGGGTAGAGCTCAGACCTCCTAACAAACCAATAAAAAGTCCCTATGCGCTCAGCTGGACAGGCAGGGCAGCCAGGGCCAAGCTGGGGGTTGGCCAAGCCCACCCATGTGCTTAGGGGAGAATTAGTGGTGAGTTCAGTACGTACACGCATCTCACCAAGGAGGCCGACACTGAAGGGATGAAACACATGGTGCAGTGGGAAAAGGCTTTTTGAATTTATCTGAATTTCCAGCCCTAATGCCTAACTGTTATTTATTAGTTGAGAAGTCTTGGGGAAGTGTCTTAAACTACTCTGAGCCGTTTCTTCATCTGAAGAGATCTAGTAATAACCTCACTGGGTTAATACAAAGATTGAACAACAACAACTACATATATATATACACATACACACACACACACACACACACACACACACACACACACTAGTGGCCCAGTGCACGAAATTCATGCGGGG